TCCTTGAAAAGAGTTTGATCATAATAGTCACTACACTAGTAGTATCGGGTATTTCATGTTTCGTGTTACATTCATCAACTTTCAACTTCAACATTATTAACTATCGCATATTTTAGAAACGAGCTCATATGTTTAGAGTGTGCGAGCAATAATGTTTTTATAATTCCAGGGAAAATGTGCATCTTGTACTGATTCTGACAATGACTGCAGAATATTTGGCCTGAGAACATATAGAAACACTATTCAGAAAGCAAAGTTTTTTCTTAACACAGCTGATCACGCTCCATATTGTAGTAAGCTAGCTTGAATATTATAAATGGAAAAACATTATTTTTGTTAAGTGTTTCAGTATAGAATAAGTATATATATGAAGAAAACTGGTGGCTTCGGTTATTTTGATTTCATATTGGTCGACGACAATGCGAATATAGCTGAGGTGATATTATCGTCATCCAGCCCAGAGTAAGTTGATTTTAAGTGGATATCAAATACTACCAACTCCTTTATTTTCAACTGTCCACAGGTCGAACTATAGAGAGATGAAGGGAGATCAAAATAACACATTCGTCTATTATGCACACCCGCCTCAGCTTGGTTCCATTAAAGAAGCCAAAGTGAGATGGAATCAGAAGAAAAAGTTTTACTGTATCATCTACTGCAGTACAACTGTTAATGTAGAAAAAATATATGTGAAATTATTGAACGGTCACCTAAAAGATGAAAGGTATTGAACTATCAAGTCGGTATAATTTTAAAAGTTTTGGTAAGATCAATGCTCCTGTTTTTGATGCAATCATTTCAACATTCAAACTAGAAATAGATCCGTACCAAATCAGTTATTGTCCACGACAATAATTACACACTTTTCAAAAACATACTATATATGAAAAGCAGAAATTATGTTCATTTGGACGGGATGACCACATAGATCTAACCGAAGTAAGTGTTTCTGGAGATGTTACCGGACTTTGTCTGCAGATAGCGCAGTGGTACATCCCACCGAATCAACTGCAGATAAAGCTTATGACTACTTGGAATTGATTTTGTTTTACGATGAAGACATCGACCACGATATGCTGTTGAAAGACCGGGTTCACCGTATCCTCAGGGAGGGTGACGATGATAACGTCCGTCCAGCTTCTGTGGAAGAACTGAAGAGCTACATCAGGACCGTAAAGGCCGAAAAAGCTCCGGGAATCGACTCAATAACCAACAAGTTATTGCTCCCAGACAACTGCGTTGAGAACCTTCTGAACATCATAAACAGTTTGTTGCCCCTCAGACACTTCCCCAGAAGGTGGAATCATACGATCATCGTCATGATCCCAAATCAGGGTCTGAACCTGCTGTTCCCACAAAACCATCGCCTGATCACTCTACCCTCGTCAGTGACTAAGTTGGCTGAAAGAGTCGTTCTCTAAAGGCTCAACGAAGAAGTTGAGGACCGAAATGTTCTGCCTGATGAACAATTTGGCTTCAGGAGAGAACACTCCACTGAGTTACAGGCTCTAAGGCTGGTCGAAAACACCATCTACGAGTTGAACACTGATAAAAAAGTGCACATTGTACTGTTAGACATCTTGAAGGCCTTCGACCGTTCATGGTTTCACATGAAGGCCTTCTGCACAAATTGAACGCGTTCAACCTGCCTCGGGGCCTGATCCGGTGGATTGGGTCTTTCCTGAAAGACTGAACATTTCAGGTTGGAGTAGAGGGCTCTCTGTCTGACAACAGAGAGATCCTCGCTGGAGGGCTAGAGGGGACCGTGCTCTCTCCGATGTTGTATTCACTTTATACCAGTGACCTTCCGAGGCCCGAGCGTGTGAAGATATCCCTATACGCCTATGACACGGCTTTCCTCTCGTCTTACATGGGTCGGAACTCGGCGTCGTCTACATGCAACGTGCATTGGACGACCTTGAGCGCTGGTACCTCGATTGGAAGATCCGAGTGAACCCGAACAAGACTCAGGCGATACCCATGGGCAATAACCAGGCGATAACCAGGCGATGACCAGGCGATAACCATGGCGATTGCCATCTTCTCCGGCCAGAAAAGTGAGATTGTCTAGAAGGGAGATTGACTGGCAAGCGCGGGTAAAGTACCTCGGCCTGTTAATAGACCGTAGGCTCACTTGAAACCCGCACATTATGTGCGTTAAGTCAAAGATCGAGGGTCGGATAGCTAGTATGTTCCCTTCGATCAACAGAAAGTCAAAAAGGAGTCTGAAGAACAAAGTTACTATCTACAATACGATGTTCAAGCCTGTCATCATGTATGCTTAAGGCATCTGAGGACAAGCGACTACGTATAATATCTCCATTCTGGAGAGATTGCAAAATAAGTTGATGAGGATGATTGTGAAAGCTCCTTGGTTCCTGCGGCAGTCCATTCAGTCGAGGAATCGAGGAGTTTTTAATAGCGCGGAAACCCACGAAAATCCGTTAGTTAGGGAAGCTATAGATTATGCTGTAGACGACCCTTTCCGATATAGAAGGCTCTGTCGAATGTCCCCCGTTACCGGACGAATAGATTCTTCATCCATCCCACCCCAGCCAGGTAGGGGTACCCCGTGAAGGGCGATACTGATGTCTGAGGACTTCATGCCGCCAACATCCCCCTCAGTCATGAACCCATTTGTCCTTCTTCGACAGAAACCAGCTGAAAAGGTAAGGGAGCTGGGCTCGGATTAGATTAGGAAGTAAAAGCACCTAAAGGCTGACTTTCAACTGAAACAGGTAGATGTCAATCTTGCTGGAGTACTCATCAATAAGTTGAGGACTGCTCCGGAGGAGCGGGGTGGATGAACGAGATGAGATGTTCCGCACACTGTAACCGTGTGGAGAAGATTTCAACTCAGGGCACTCAACCCGGAAGGAGGCATATGGGGGGGAGGTTACTCGGGATATTCATTTATAACCACTTTGATCTAGCTTTCCCTCTGTCCATTTGCAAAAGAAATTTATCAACTGATAATTGGATAAACTCTGAGATAAAATAATATTCAATCGATGTTCGAGATCTCTTCCATCTTTATATTGAAACAAAGAGCAAATTAATATACATTAAATATAAATAAGAAAAGGGTGCATATAGAAAATTTCTATCAGATTACAAAACAACAATAAATGATAGTCGTATAACAAATTCCAAGAATAAATCGAAAACAATGTGGAACATTCTGAAAAATACAAATGATGCTGAAGTAACAAACAATAGCTTCATCACAATCAAAACAGAAAACAACACGATGATATCAAACCCAAAAGAAGTTGCTACGATATTTAACAACCACTTCACAACCCAAACATGCAGTTAGAACTCAGGTAGTACAGGGTTAGCGAAGAACAAAGCCACAATATTTTCAGAACCGACTAATCATACAGAAATATATAATATTGTGAATGACCTACTACTGAAATTTGCTAGTGGACTTGACTCCATTCTCCCTTTAATTCTAAAAAAAGCTTGGAGATACACTTGTGATCCTCTGGTAAATGCAATAAATGAGAGTCTGGTATCTGGTATCTTCCCAGATAAGTTGAAAATAGCAAGAGAAATACCAATCCACAAAAAAGAATCGAAAGCGGATTTAAACAACTATAGACCGATATCCATTCTACCTTCGCCTTCAAAGGTCTTTCAGAGAGTAACCTACAAGCGATTGCAAACACTCTTGAATCTGAATAAGATACTTGCCAACTGAATAAGATACTGTCAACTGAACTTGCAATTCATAATGCGATCTATTCCAGAAATAAACGATTTCAAATTTTTGGGGGTCACAGTTGATACCAGTATCAAATGGGACACACACGTGAATAAACTGAACTCAAGGCTCTGTTCTGTAGCAGGAGTAATTCGAGTAACAAGGGACCAAGTCTCGTTGAACAGCATAAAGGTATATTACTATGCTCATGTTCAATCCATTATGTTAAAATTACCTTATGTGTCAACATGTATACCATACTTCAAAGAACTCGTTTTATTAACCGTTCCTTCCTTGTACTTTCTTCAATTAGTAACTTTTGCAAAAAAACACTACCACATCTTTACAAGGAACTGTGATCATTTGGCAATAAATACTAGAGGAAGAATCGACCTCATTATACCAAAACACACAACTTCATTCTATGAGACGGGGCCCCACTATAAAGCCATTAAGGCATATCAGTCACTCCCAACTAAAATAAAAAATACTCAGTATCAACAGATACTCAAACAACAGTTTCTACAGCTGGTGATGGGTTGTAATAATAGGGGTGTCTCTACGGCACTTCAAAATGATCCCCATACCACGATTCTGAAGTTTTTGGAGTTGAGACAATTTATTTTTATGGAATAGATATAGGATAGAGGAACAGTAGTCAAAGTGTGGCTGAAGAATTGACTTGTAAACTGTGTTACTTGACTCGGTTGAAAGATTACTCCCAATTCTAGTGAAGAAGAATATTTTTTTATTTTTTTTTTCATGAATATACTCAGACTGTTCATCAAATGATAGGGTATTGTCCATCAGGAATCCCAGATATTTAGTTGAATTCACTAATTCATTTTTTTTTTCATCATCAATGCTGAGGTTCATAATTTTCGAGTCTATTCGGCTGTATTTGAATTTGGTGGTGATTATAATTTTTCTGTTTCCAGTACATTCAACTTTAGTTTATTCATTTTCAAATTATTGCTGACACTTTCTAGAGTATTATTAATTTTTTGTATAGCCATTTCGCTAAATCGCTAAATGTCAACAGAGTATCATCAGCAGACAAGTTTATAAATTCACAACCATCAAACAATGGCATGTCATTTAAATATAATCAGGAAAAGCACCACAATCCTGCTTAGCCATCGTATCCATTAGATTTGCCCCTCTGTACCTCATTTCGTTCCCAAGATTTCCAAAATTGAGAAGAACCATGATTGAAGAGATAAAAACCAAATCGCTGAGAGATCTCAAGGACATACCAAAGGGTGCATATCAGAACAGCTTCGAGGGGGACTATCTTGGTAGGAACAATATGAAAATGATGACTGAGTGATTATTTTTTGAGAAAAATCAAAATTCACCTTATTTTTTGAACAGACACCGTATGATATTCAATCCAGTTATTACTGTCCAATTTAGATCGTAGAAATAGTGATGTTTTGGAAATGATTGTTATCTGACTCGTGAATTTTTCCATTTGAATTTCATGTCATCAAATGACATGAAATTCATCATCAAATAACTGATATTTTTCTGAAGATTCTTGAGCACTCACTTATTGAAATTATTGATTCATCATTGTCATGAATGTAGAAAGTGATCTTCATGAAACGTTGAGTGTCTGATATTTCAAACATCAAAAAAATTCATCAATTGATTCTTCATTGAATACAGTGATGAAATTTTTCAAAAAACGTTTTCATTTTTTCGAAAATCACAAATTTTTAAAATTATTATCGTGACTTCAATATTTGTTGAATGAATATTTCCGATCTATCGAAATTTCAATGAAATTACGGATTTCTAGGGAAGAATCAGTTCTATGTTCTTCAAGTGGCACAGATATTGAGGATGGGACATTTAAAACTTTCACTTCTTGCTCTGGATCAAGAACAACTACTACTGAAACTACTGAAACAACTGAAACAAGTACCCTTCCAACGACTATAAAAATGTCAACAAAGAAAGCGGAATCAATAAGTAAAACAATACCTGGGCATTTAGACTAGTTTTAATTTACACTAATCCACAAAATAATATAATATACAGTCCATATATCAATAACGCAACAACAAGAGCTTCATATACTTATTTTCAATTAGCAAAGTGTACAAAATAAAAGTGTGCGGTCTTTTCATCATTTACTGATTTCGCTCCACCTGGAACCCATAATAAAACGATGTTCTTATGAGACAGATCTGGTGGTTTTTAGAAACAGAATTCTGTATCACACATGTTGGAAATAGTTTTCAACGACATAAAGACATAATATTTTTAGAGTAATGAGCTCACATAATGATTTCAAGTAACATCAGATTTCATTCCAAACACCAACTTCATTGATAATTCACAAATATTTTTCATCCTGGATGAACTGCATTTGAATATGCATTATGGATATCTGAAGGAGTATCCGGAAAAGAATATTTATTTTGCGTTTTTCTGTTCTCTGAATGACTTTTCCATCAAAAAATACAGAGGATTCATCTCTGTTCCCCTGTTCAAGAATGTAATAGACTTATACAGGTTTCGAATATGAATTTGTTCGTCAGAAAACATTGTTTATTCACATTCATCCTAAATTACTCGATAATAGGTCAAAACCATGGACACATAAAAATTAGGAATGTATAACCTATAGAGGAATATCCATGTGAAGAATTTTCCGTATTTCTTTAGATTTCTGAGATGAACCAGAAATTTTGCATAATATATTCTACAAAGTACGTATTAAATTTGCTTTTTTTGCTATACCTGTGAATATACAACAAAATCGTTACTTTAGATATGAGTAAGCTCCATTTGTGGGTTACTTAAATCCAAAATATACTGTGTTCGCAGAATCATTATTGTTATGGTTCAAAAAACTGGTTTCAGTAAAAGCAATTGACTTATTTCAAAAGCATACGTTTTCGAAAATTATACCAAACGGTTGTTTCCATGTCAAGTGCATTTAAATGAAATGAATTGAAAAGAAACTAGTTTCAAAGCAGTTCAGTCACTTCAAGTCTATTTTTGTCATAGATTGAGTAAACTAAACGATCTGCTACAACAGATTTTCCGAAAAAACAAATAGTACCTAACAAATATACTTTTTATATGTACAACTCCACATTGATTCTGTTTTTATAGACAATAAATATTATTGTAACTACATTGCGTTTTTATTTTCAAGCATTCTACCCCCTCTCTAAAATTACAACACATGGACAAATAACAAATGACGCCTTTCAGGCTAGCGATATGTATTTAACTCAAATATAGGATTCAGAGAGAAACCCGTCGCAAACACTATGTATTTACTGAAATTGAGAGATATTCTGTAGCTGAGACACATCAATCGTTTCAGTAATCATACTTGAGAATAAAGTAACCGTAACTTCGTGTGGTCCTAACAATTTGCTATCTGTATAAACTGATAAACGCAATAACATTTACAAAATTCGTTAACAAGTATCTTATCTGTGAGTGGCACTATACAATAATTATATTTCCTGAAAATATAATCAATTTATATTTTCTCAAAGTCATTTTGTATAGAGCCACTCTCGATTTTTCATCAACTCATTTTCCATATAGGTACGTTACTTTTCATTCTATTCTAATTTTTCTTTTGTATTGACATCGTTTTGTTGGTTTTGAAAATTTCATCTTTTATTGAAAATTCGCAAGGTATGAATGATGAGGTTTGAAATTTTGCCATTCATTGATTCAGTCTGAGGTATCAGATGATTCTGTGGAATTAGATTCATAATATGAGAACAGTGCTACGAGAAACTATCAATATCAAATTTCTCGTCCATTCTCTCATAAACACAAATGTAAAATTCATAACAATTTTCAATTACTTCCTCAGTTTTTTTCTTGAGAATTCCATTTTATCTTCATATCCTGAACAACTGAACCTATTTAGTCCAGAGTTGAACTGAGGTTTCTACTAGGTATTCATCCTCTTATTTATTTTCAGCTCTTTATCTCAAATTTTTGTATATAACAGATTAAATATAGGCGGGAAAGACAAATTAGACAAAATTTCAGTTTCACGAATCGAAAGTGTGGTTTTTGGAAATGTTGAAATGATTTACAGCTTAGAGCAGGAAAGTATTGAAACCTTTCGTAAAAAAAGATAGCATAAAATTTTAGAAAAAAAAACTACATATTTCAATGACCTGACAAAATTCCATACCTTTGAACACGAAAGTAAACCTCTTGAAAGAAGGAAAATTGTGAAGCATGACATATTCTCACATTTAGAAGAATTGTGGACAATTATGTATTTTTCTAGAAGCAGTTATACCAATATCTTCTTCAGAGAGGCCTACCTGCTACGTACGTATGAATATAGATACTCATACAGACGCATGCGTAATGAAATAAAATCAGAAAAATGCGCATGCGTATTGTCAGTCTCGATGAGAGTAAAAATGAAATTTGAGATATTCCTACATCCTGGTCAAAGTTTCAACAGTGAAATGGTTGTCCAACCTCAGAGGAGGACACGAGAATTGAAAAGTATTAACAGTTACAATTGGCAGCCTGAGGCCCTTGTGGGGTATCCGTCAAACGTTGACCCTTGGCTCCTCCACTCATCAGGGTAGGGTCAGTGTCTAAACTGTCCGACATCTTGTCGCAAATGATATCGACTAAACGTTCGAATACAGCCTGTAAAACGAAAGACACAATTACTTTTTCGACATTGATATCATTGAATAAGCCTAATAAAGGGTTTTTCATTAATCTTGTTCGATTGATGACCGGTTTCTGTTTATGATACCATTTTTAAGTAACTGGCAGTTATACCAATTTTTTTTTTCAGAAAGGGTTACCTGCTACGTACGTATGAGTATAGATACTCATACAGAAGCATGCGTTAGCGAATAAAATCGTAAAAATTCTCACGCATGAAATCAGTATCGATGAGAATGAACTGTTGGTTGAAAATGGTCTAATAAACCGAAACTGGTCGTAACGAATGATGAACTCAGTAGAAATTAGACCAAAGTTATTTTCTTCATTCTGTATTCTTTCATCAAATGCTTCCTATATTTGAATTTGCATAAAAAAAGTGTGTGAGATATTATCCACACTATTCTTCACTTTTGAATACTACAGGGCTCAATACTCCAATGGACTTGCATCAAATTTCTAAATACGAAAAACTTTAATGATCATACTGTTTTATGCGAAAAAGATGACTGTTAAATTTTTTTTCCTATGTACGATTATGTGGAATTTCGAAATCATGTTTATGAAAGAAACTGGCCGTTTATAATTTTTGTTGGTTTCGAGTCACTGTTTTAAAAATTTAATGGAATCATCCCTAACAAAACTATAAAATACCAAAAATATATACTTCTCAGTGCGGGATACAACTTAAAATGTTCCTATGACGACAGTATTTCTCATTTCAAAATTAATCGAGGTAAAGACTGTATAAAATGGTTTGCCGATGAGTTGTCTGATATTGCAAAATTTGTTGAGTCAAAATTAAAGAGTATTGAGCCCATGACAATGCCTTCAAATAGTATCGAAGCTGCAACGACTTGTCATATTTGTGAAAAACCGTTCACCCCCAAAAATGTTATCGTGCACGATCATAATCATTACACGGGGGCGTTCCGGGGATATGCACACCAAGTCCTTTGTAATGTCAATTTTCGAGAATTATTCATGGTACCCATTACTTTTCATAATCTTTCAGGATACGACAGTCACTTCATTATGAGCGATATCGCAAAAAGAGGATGTGTGAGCATACTTTCCTCAAATACAGAAAATATGGTTCCTTTACACAGAACTAGGCGATAGAATATGAATTGTTCAAGTGTCCGCTACGGTTTCTCTGAGTGAAGCGCATGGATTATATTGGCTTTGAGGAAGAGATATTAATTATTTTTACCCATTACATAAGATGAAAGAGTGTTATTGTGTAGATTGAATCCGTGAGAAATTTCGAAAGGCAAGAATTCTGTACCTTCTTCAAGTTCAAAAAAGAAAAAAAATATGATGAAATAATGTAGGGAATGAATACGCGAAGAAAATACTTCTTCAATGCTAGTTTGTACAATTTCAATTATGAACAATAAATAAGCTTTAGAATTGAGTAATATGAAAATGTCATAACGTGAAGCGTAAATGATTGATGGAATCAAACTTCCACGTTACAAGATTCGAGTAGGATGAATCGATAAGTCAAACGCAATCAGTTAGCACTCACAAAAGCTGCGTAATGTTTTTGGTTCCATGAATATTATCGAGTGAATGGAAAAACTCAACGTGAAACTCTCACCTTTACATTTATATTTTCTTTCGCACTAGTTTCAAAAAACTCTACGCCGAGAACCTCAGCCAACTGTCTACCCCTCTCGTAGCTGATCACTCTCTCATCCTCCATGTCACATTTGTTGCCTACCAAAATAACCTGAGCGTTGTCCCATGAATATGTTTTGATCTGAGTAACCCTGTAAGAGAGAATGGCAGAGTTTCTTAAAATTGAAAGGTGAGTGGGGGGTGATTCAATTATCACTTTTGTGGATGATGATAGATTCTGAAATCACATATTCCGAGAAATTGTATGAGAAAAGACTCACCAGTCCTGAACACTATTGAAAGATTCTTCATTCGTTATATCATACATTAATATGAATCCCATTGCTCCTCGATAATATGCGGTTGTAATCGTTCTGTATCTCTCCTGGCCTGCTGTGTCCTGAAAAAGTGAAAAGTTTTTTGCATCACCACATTTTCTTCATTCAGGATTGAATGCGAATATCGCATTATTCATTTTTATGCGGTGCTGAATTGCAAATTACCCAACCGATTGTTATCAATGGATTATAATAACGGAAAATTCATATCCTCTCCGTTCAAAATTTCAGGATCCATTTGAAAGTGAAGTTTTATGTCAAAGCTATTTTTCGGGGTATTTTGTCCATGGTCTAAAAGTTTATATGACTGACGTTTCGTCTACTACTGCGTTAGACTATATCAAAGGTGATGTGGTAACAGTGGTAGAGTTTGTGTTCTGGTTGTTTCGGTTGTTCTCAACGCAAAAACTACAATGCTGATATTCAACTTCGATTTTATATTATCATTGATCAGATTACACGACCTTCTTTGTGTACAATTAGGGACATATTTCAATAATGTTCATTGCCTTTTTTTTTCTATCGAAATTATCCCTGTGTTTTTGAATTTTTACTGCCTCTCTTTATAATCTCACATTAGAAATTTGAGTTTTATCGAATATTACTGTATCTTCGAATGAGATAATAAGTTCCTTGTGTTTTGAGAGCATGTTCGACTACTATGAATTTTTCGGTTTTTTCGAGGCAACAATTCCTCTTTTCAGAGGGTTTCAACGTAGCAAGCCAGTGAACAGGAGGCAGCGCCCTCCCTGGTTATACGTTGTTGAACATCTTGTCGACTTTACCTAACAGTAACCACGTGCACCCCGGAAAGGTCATTTTCCTCACTTAGGCGTTTAAAAACCTACCTACGGATTAGTTGAGGGGCAAGAAAAGCTAACCGAGTTGGCCCTAACAGCAATTAACAGATATGTTATCATCCCTACCAATGATGTTATAACATAATTTGCCCATATAAAGTCTAGAAGGCTTAATTTTGTATTGAGAATTTACTGAACTGGAAATTTTAGGTTTTCAGTTTTAGAAACGAATACATACGTACACTTTTCTTAGTGAAGGACTTTTCCCATGACAATGTGATGGTAAAATCAATTGAATTTGAATTTGCAGATCTCTTTCATTGAGAACCCCTCCGAAACAAAAATCTGGGCACGGCTTTGCAATGTAGACCGACCCGCAGCTACAAGGAATCCGGTATCCCCTGTTGTTGCAAAAAGTTTTCTGGGGTCCTAAGCTGACTACAGACTAGTCTCTGATAGTTTCATCTTTGTTGGTCTTAATATTGGCTTAACGTCGTGTTGATTCTTCCGGCCTGTAACATTTGCAACATTGGGAAGGAAACCATTTCCCTTGACTAGCTTAGCTAGGGTTACTTTGCCGTTCTCTCTCCTGGTTCGTATGGCCCTCTTGGATCTTCGTTCGCTGTGCTCGTTCCTTTTGAAGGCATGTTTAGATGATTGATTTCATTGAGGAGACTCTTGAGTTCACAGATATATCGTGCTCTCTCAACCAACGTTTTAATACCCCTCTTTTCAGTTGGGTCTGGTGGTTAGAGTTTTTATTTAGATACTTGTCTCTGTGTGCTGCTTTCCTGTGCACTCTTTGGCCCAATGTTCCACCTTCACGTCTCTTAACAAAATAATTTAAGTCGATCGCTTGCTCTATGGCCCGTTGTCCAAAATTTTTCATAAAAAGTATGATGCCGGACTTGATGGACTGCCCATTATGGTACCATCCGTTAGTTCATAAAAAACATAATCCCACTGGAAATAAGTTGATGATTAACAATGAGCGAAGAGGTCGGTTATATCTGCTGAGAATACTAATTAGTCGTATCGTGTTCTTGATCGGAACCACCTTGCACAAGGAGACCACTTCGAAGCTCTTCAGTATGTCTCCAGGAGTTAACATCATATCTCTACTTTTTTCGATAAAGTGTCCCAGGGCTTCAATAAATGAATCTGCATTTCCTATAAACGGATACAGTTGGATTGTAAATTATTCATCTAGCTCATAAGTTGGTGAACCTATTCCATTCACGATAGGTCCAAGTGGCACAATCTCTTCATGGATTTTTGGTAAGCCATTTTGACGTGGGGGAACGGCTTCGGATTTTTGTATGATCTTCGTGCTCTCATGTATCCCTGTATTCAGTAAGGTGACGATTTTGCTACTATAATCCTTGTGTTCATCACAACGGTGATATATTCTCTGTCATCAGGCACTACCACTACTGTATTGATATTTTTCAGCACCTCACATTTACGTCGTGTTCTGCGTGGTTTTGCATGCATTATAATCCTTGGCGTGTCTCCACTGTATTTCAGAATGAAATAAAATCGAAAGCAATTGCCATTTCCAATTCTGTATTCTATAACAAATAATCTCCAATTGATCAGGAATTACCTAGGGAAAAATATTTTTTCTAGAGCCCTTATTGAAAAAATGATTGAAGAAAGAAATTCCTCTTACCAAAATACATGGGTAAAAACCACATATCACAAAATTCCAACTGTGTTCCATGAGAACACAGTTGAAAATCATTTTTATCGAAATAAAGAACAGAAATACCAAAAGAAATACGATTCAATATGGTGTAAAAATTGAACTGTGGAAGGTGTCACAAATGATATGTTGGTCAAACCAGACGATATCTTGAAACACGAGTTTCAGATCATATGAGAGACTGTAAGAAACGAAATATGAAGAACCCCACAGCCCTTGTTGAACATGAAGAAGAATATGAACTCATTTTTTATTTTGATCAACTATTTTAAATGTTCAACCATTTATCCAAAATACTTTCGAGCAGAATGATACACATTCTCAAATGTGATAGTTTTAACACTAGAAGAGATGACGTTGACCTTAATACCGCATATTTCAATTTGATATGTAAAATACCTCAGTAATTCACCATTGCTCAATTTGTATTGTATCTATGATATAAATAAGGATTACTATAATTGACTGGCTTGAAAAGATCAATGGAAAAAAATCTTACCCATATTTGCAGCTTGACTCGTTTGTCATGCCTGAAAACTGTTTTCACTTTGAAGTCTATCCCCACTGTGCTAACGAAGGCTGAAGTGAAACTGTCATCAACATTCAAACTGGAAATAGATCCGGACCAAATCAGTTATTATCCACGACAATAATTACACACTTTTCAAAAACATTCTATATATGAAAAGCAGAAATTATGTTCATTTGAACGGGATGACCACTGCTAGATCAAACCGGAGTAAGTGTTTGTGGAGATGTTTACGGACTTTGTCTGCAGGTAGCGCAGTGGTACATCCCACCGAATCAACTGCAGATAAAGCTCATTACTAGTTGGAAGTGATTTTGTTTCACGATGAAGACATCGACCGCAATATGCTGTTAAAAGACCGGGTTCACCGTATCCTCAGGGAAGGTGACGATGATAACGTCCGTCCAGCTTCTGTGGAAGAACTGAAGGGCTACATCAGGGCTGCAAAGGCCGAAAAAGCTCCGGGGTCGACTCAATAACCAACAAGTTATTGAAGAGGTTCCCAGACAACTGCGTTGAGAACCTCCTGAACATCATGAACAGTTTGTTGCCCCTCAGACACTTCCCCAGAAGGTGGAAGCATGCATCATCGTCATGATACCAAAACAGGGTCAGAACCTGCTGTTCCCACAGAACTATCGCCCGATCATTCTACTCTCGTCGGCGGCTAAGCTGGCTGAAAGAGTCGTTCTCCAAAGGCTCAATGAAGAAGTTGAGGACCGAAATGTTCTGCCTGATGAACAATTTGGCTTCAGAAGAGAACACTTCACTGAGTTACAGGCTCTGAGGCTGGTCGAAAACACCATCCACAAGTTGAACACTAATAAAAAAGTACATATTTGTACTATTAGACATCTCGAAAGCCTTCGACTGTGTATGGCACGAAGGCCTTCTACACAAATTAATCGCGATCGACCTGCTCTGGGGCCTGATCCGGTGGATTAGGTCTTTCCTGAAAGACGGAACATTTCAGGTTAGAGTAGAGGGCTCTCTGTTTGACAACAGAGAGATCCTCGGTGGAGTGCTGCAGGGGGCCGTGCTCTCTCCGACGTTGTATGTACTTTATACCAGTGACCTTCCGAGGCCCGAGCGTGTGAAGATATCTCTATACGTCGATGACACGGCTCTCCTCTTGTTTTCCATGGTAGGGAGCTCGGTGTCTTCTACATGCAATGTGCATTGGACGACCTCGAGCGCTGGTACCTCGATTGGAAGATCCGAGTGAACCCGAACAAGACTCAGGCGATAACCAGGGGAAAATTGCTATCTTCTCCGGCCAGAAAAGTGAGAATGTATGGAAAGGAGATTAACTGGCAAGCGCGGGTAAAGTACCTTGGTCTTCTAATAGACCGTAGGCTCACTTGGAATCCACACATTATGTGTGTTAAGTCAAAAATCGAGGGTCGGATAGCTAGTATGTTCCCTTTGATTAACAGAAAGTCAAAAAGAAGTCTGAAGAACAAAGTTACTATCTACAATACGATGTTCAAGCCTGTCATCATGTATGCTTCAGGCATCTGAGGACAAGCGACTACGTATAATATCTTCATTCAGGAGAGATTGCAAAATAAGTTAATGAGGATGATTGTGAATGCTCCTTGGTTCGTTCGGCAGTCCATTTAGTCGAGGAATCGAGGAGTTTTTAATAGCGCGGAAACCCACGAAAATCCGTTAGTTACGGAAGCTATAGATTATGCTGTAGACGACCCCTTCCGATATAGAAGGCTCTGTCGAATGGAGCCCTCATGTCCCCCGTTAACGGACGAATAGATTCTTCATCCATCCCACCCCAGCCAGGTAGGGGTACGGTTCACTCCGTCTGAAATTACTCTTTCTGTACTGACAAGGAGCTAGTACTTCGAAATCGGTCAATCTGCGGTTGTCCCTACCAAATGGAATTGATTTTAGCTTTTCATGAATAGGAAGTTACTTGAGTCGGATCTATCAGCTACGTAAAGTTGCACAGATGCCTGATGGTTTTATTTCAGCTTTCACTATATGTATAGAGTAGACTGTTCAAGGAATGAGGTGAATGTTCAAATTTCGGGGGCTACGTACATTCGATTAGATTTTTTGTTCATTTTATAATATTCATACACTCTTTTTGGACATAGTTTCATAATTTCAGCTGTTCAGTACGTTCAGTTTATTGGTGAGAGGCATAAAAGTGGAAAGTATTTTGCGTGTTCGGCAAATTTTGTAGGAAAATAGAATTTATTGCTCGAAAACACTCGAAATGTTGACAGTGGCATACAATGATTGTAATCTGAGTCAGAAAAGTGTATCATCACTAATTGTACAACCAGTTCACAGAAGGTCGAGAAAATGTGAATGACGACGGTCGTGCTGGATGCCCCAGTATATCAACAGCCGATCAAAATATCAAGGAATTGAAGAGAGTTGTTATGGAGAATCATTGAGATACTTTCAGAAAAGTTTCTGAAATTGTCGGCATATTGGTTGGCTAATGTCATGCGATTTTTTTGAGAATTTTGGGCATGGAGCATGTGGCAACGGCGTTTGTTTCAAAATTGCTGAAGTTTGGCCATGAAAATTATTGCATGATCATCACCTAGGAAAATAAAAGTACAACCGTCCCAATGGAATAGATCAGGAAAGCCAAGAACATACAAATCATCAATTTCAATCAATTTTGTTACATATTGGAATTATTTAAAAAAGCATGAGAGAAACATTAGTAGAATACATTCTAAAGTTGATCAATAAGATAGACATGTTGATATTTCAAGAAAGAAATTTGTATCTATAGGTAACAAACACAATATATATATTATGCTTGTACATTGAAAACAAATTTCTTCAGTTCGTTTTTGAACATGTTCAGAGATGAGCTATTTTTAATTGCATTTGGTAATTTGTAGAACCGATCAAAACCCTTGAAAAACAAAGAATTCATGGTGTTTCTGTTTTTTGTTCTGTTTGTATATGAATTATTATTATTTTAAGTGGTGGTGAATATCATGATGAAAGACAATGTACTGTTCGAAATAAGATAGTTCAAAATTGTTCAATATTTTGTATAAAAAAATCATTGTGAAATATAATAGTCTCTGGGAAATGGATAATGAACTTACATGAATTTCATTGCAGTTGTGACATAATCAACTCATTTGTGGTATATTTCTGAGTAGGTATATATTCCTTTCCTCTTGGAGGGACTAGTTCTTGTCACTGGACCCTTCACGTGGTTTAAAGAATATGCATGTTGCATGAAATCGTCTGTTGAACATAGTCAACCACTTCAAATCTGTTAATTTGTGTGAAATTCTAGACCTACTTCTGATTCCAAATATTAACCTGATGCAAGAGTTTTGAACTTTTTATATGCGACACGTGTCGTTGTTGTCTAAACATGAATGATAAATAAAGTCACAGTGGTTGAAACGAGATAAAACTAATGAATAACATAGCATTTTCTTGACATTTCATCAAAATATTGTCTATGAGGATATATGAGTTTCAGGGATGTATAAGCAATTTTAAGTTTGTCGGTTACATGTTCATGAAATCCAAGGTTATAATCTGAAATGATTGACTGTATTAAAAACAAGGAATATGAATGTTTTTTTTCAAAGTTGAAATATNGTCTCTTCTTTTCTATTGAAATTATCCGGCTTTTTTCAATTTCTATTGCCTGTCTATATACTTTTGGATAGTATTTTTGAGTTTCATCGAATATTACTGTATCTTTGAATGGGATAATGAGTTCTTCCTTTTTTGAGAGCATGTTTGGCTACAATGGATTTGTCGGATTTTCTGAGACAATAATTCTTCTTATTTTCAGAGAGTTTCAAGGCGTAGCTCAGGGGTGGGGTCCGGCCCCCCCTTGGGCATATGTTGTTGAACATCTGGTTGACTGTATCACCAGTTACCACGTGCACCACGTGCATCACGGAAAGGTCATTTTACACACCTAGGCGTATAAAAACCTACCTAGGGATTTGTTGTGGGCAAGAGAGGCTAACTGGATTGCCCTGAGGGCAATTCATTAAGATGTAATTTTCCCCACTGATAATGTTATAACAGAATTGGTCCATAAAAAGTCTAGAAGGCTTGATTTCGTAGTATGAATTCACTGAACTAGGGTTTTTACTTTTAAAAAAGAATTTGTTAGTACAGTTTTTCCAGTGAAGGGCTTTTCCCATGCCAATGTAATGATAATTAATCAAATGTGAATTAGCAGATCTTTTTTATTAGGGACCTCCCGAAGCGAAAATCTGGACATGCTTTGCATGTAGACCAACCCGCAGCTATAAGGAATCCGGTATACCCCTGGTGTTGCAAAAAGTTTTCTGGGGTCCTAAGCTGACTACAGACTGTCTATGATAGTTTTCTTTTCGTTAGCCTCAATATTGGCTTCACGTCGTGTTGCTCTAAAATTCTCCCGGCTTGTAACATTTGCATCATTGGAAAGGAAAGCATTTCCCTTGACTAGCCTAAATAGGATTAATTTGCCGTTCCCTCTCCTTGGTCTCTACTTTCGAATTCTCCTTCGCTGTGTCCATTCATTTTGAAGATATTTTCAGATGATTGAGTTCATCAGGAAGACTCCTAAGTTTACAGATATGTCGTGCTCTTTCAACCAACGTTTTAATACCCTGTGCTTGGTGGTAAGAGTTTCTATTCAAATACCTGTCTGTGTGTGTTGATTTTCTATATACCCTGTGGCCCAATTTACCATCTTCACGTCTCTTCACAAGAACATCCAAGAAGGCTAGAGTCGGGAAAGTTCAGATATACTACCTAGAAAGTATCATCAACATTACGCAGCCAACAATATGATTTCACGACCGCTTGCTTCTAAGGCCCGTTGTCCCAAATTTTCCATAAAAGTATGTTGCCGGACTTGATGGACTGCCCATTGTGGTACATCTACTCACTGGAAATGAGTTGAGGATAAACAATGAGCAAAGCGGGTGGTTATATTTGCTGGGAATATTTCGCTAATTAGTCGTATCGTGTTTTTGATCGGAACCACCCCGTGCAAGGAGACCACTTCGAAGCTCATTAGTATGTCTCCAGGAGCTAACATCATATCTCTACTTTTTTCGATAAAGTTTCCCGGGGCTTCAATAAATGAATCTGCATTTCCTATAAACGAATGCAGTTGGATTTTAAATCATTCATCCAGCTCATAAGTTGGTGAAGCTATTCCATTCACGATAGGTCCAAGTGGCACAATCTCTTCATGGATTTTTGGTAAGCCATTTTGACGTGGGGGAACGGCTTCGGATTTTTGTATGATCTTCGTGCTCTTATGTATCCCTGTATTCAGAAAGGTGACGATTTTGCTACTATAATCCTTGTGTTTATCACAACGGTGATATATTCATCAGGCACTACCACTACTGTATTGATATTTTTCAGCACCTCACGTTTACGTCGTGTCCTGCGTGGTTTTGCATGCATTATAATCCTTGGCGTTTCTCCACTGTATTTATCCTCAACATAAATTATTTTTCGACACATAACTTTCATAATGAAATGGAATCAAAAGCAATTTATCAATGGAAAAAAATCTTACCCATATTTGCAGCTTGACTCGTTTGTCATGCCTGAAAACTGTTTTCACTTTGAAGTCTATCCCCACTGTGCTAACGAAGGCTGAAGTGAAACTGTCATCAGCGTATCGAAATAAAAACGAAGTTTTCCCCACCGAACTGTTTCCTATTATTAGTAATTTGAACATGTAGTCGAAATTCTGATCGGCAGCGTCCTTCTGCCATTTTGGGTCTGTTCCGGCCATCTGAAATTGAAAAAAACATTATTGTGGCTGAAGGTATCATTGAATCACTTCATTAAGGAAAATAATAATTCGAAAAAATCATAACTTGGATCTCATTTCGAAAGAAACAAATCACTTCTTTCAATCTCAACTTTCAATGTTCACCACCAACACCCAATTTTTGGAATTACTTATATTTCTTTTTCAATATCAGAAATATTTCAGAACGAAGAAATGAATAGGTATTCACTTTACTGGAATGTTACGTTCGCTATGTCCACGTATCCAGTAAATGTTTAGTATGATTATATGGAAGTTTTTTCTTGAAATGATAACATACGATTGATATACTGAACCAAATTCAAATAATTGTATTATTTCACGACAGACATTCACAAAAAATCGTAATATCGTGTTTGATGAATATTGCTGGATTGTATCAAAAGTTAGCAACCGTCGTAGAAAAAGTATAGTACACAACTCGAGGATGTGACCAAATACGTCCACTCACAAATTGTCGCACTCGGCTAGCGCCTCGTGCTTACAATTTTTCCTTCGTGGGTAATTAGCTTCTTAAGTGGAATCCCTACGGTTTGAACAATGGCCAGAAACGGCCACATTCCAAAATCTGGTTTTCTTTGTATTTGCGCAACCAAAACGCTCATTCTTAGGATCGGATCGTCACGTCTGATAGGAATTGAATCCTCTACGACATCATTTGACGTTCAGAACAGTGGTTGGACATCGATGAGCCATCTAAGCCCTTCTCACAGGCAAAAATTCACCAAAACGACTGTGTGGTGGTCAGCGGCTGGTGTGAATAACCATTACTTTTTAGAATCGGGCCAAAACATCACACATTGTGAGTAAATCGACGAAATGAAAGAAAACTCACGTCAACAGCAGCTGTCACTAGTCAACGAAAAAGGTTCGCCCTGCTCCAAGGCAAAGTTCCACAAATCACCGTCCGAAAATTAAATGAATTATGCGTTAAAGTTTTGCCTCACCCACAAAACTTCCCAGACCTTCCGCCAACCATGTACTATCTTTTCAAGCACTTCAAAAACGTTCTCACCAGTAGCACCTCCGCCAATAAGGACCAGGCTTTCTCCTCTCTGTTATTTCTTCTTTCAATTTTTATTAGGTGTTTTCTGCATATCATCAAATCTCATTCATAATTTTTCAAACACTTCTACGCCTTCGCATATACACTATCTTATTCCACTCCTCCACTCCTCAAAGAGTAGACTGTTTTCCAAGCAGACCACTCACATATCAAGATTCATTACAGCGCTGTCTACTGAAACTTAGGAGGAGGTCTATGAGGAAAGCAGTTCAAATAGTAAATACAATAACTTGTAACAAGCTAAAGTAACGAATAGTAGCTTCATCACAATCAAAACAGTGAACAACACGATGATATCAAACCCAAAGTAAGTTGCTACGATATTTAACAACCACTTTACAACCCAAACATGCAGTTAGAACTCAGGTAGTACAGGGTTAGCGAAGAACAAAGCCACAATATTTTTAGAACCGACTAATCATACAGAAATATATAATATTGTGAATGACCTACAACTGAAATTTGCTAGTGGACTTGACTCCATTCCACCTTTAATTCTGAAAAAAATCTGGGAGATACATTTGTGATCCTCTGGTAGATGCAATAAATGAGAGTCTGGTATCTGGTATCTTCCCAGATAAGTTGAAAATAGCAAGAGTAATACCAATACACAAAAAAGAGTCGAAAGCGGATTTAAATAACTATAGACCGATATCCATTCTACCTTCGCCTTCAAAGGTCTTTCAGAGAGTAATCTACAAGTGATTGCAAACACTCTTGAATCTGAATAAGATACTTGCTCCACAACAATACAGATTTAGACAAGGGATGTCAACTGAACTTGCAATTCATAATGCGATAACAGAAATAATGAATAATATTGAAGAAAATAATAGGACTAACCATGTCAAAGGCCTTTGACATGGTTAGTCATACTTTTTTACTAAATAAACTAGAAAATTATGGAATTAGAGACAATGCACACGACCTTATGAACTCATATTTGTCTGGAAGATACCAAGTCGTAGATATTCAAAATAACAAACTTATTCTGATAGAAATCTAACTCAAGAAGTTCCGCAGGGATCTATCCTAGGATAGATGATATACGTGAATGACCTTCCACAATCACTAGATACAGGTCTAGTCTGTCCATTTGCAGATGATACGTCGGTAACAGTGTCTGGGTCTTCTCCAGAGGGTTATCTGAGGTAGGCAAAAAAATGCTCGGGTGGTGTTCGGAGAACGGATTAAAATTGAATACAAACAAAACAGGACTAATCCACTTCAGAACTTTCCAAAACAGACAGGAATCGATCTATGTCAAATTGGACCATAAATCTATTCCAGAAATGTACGATTTCAAATTTTTGGGGGTCACAGTTGATAGCAGTATTAGATGGGACATACACGTGAAAGAACTGAACTCAAGGTTCTGTTCTGTAGCAGGAGTAATTCGAGTAACAAGGGACCAAGTCTCGTTGAACAGCATAAAGGTATATTACTATGCTCATGTTCAATCCATTGTGTTAAAATTACCTTATGGGTCAACATGTATACCATACTTCAAAGAACTCGCTTCATTAACCGTTCCTTCCTTTTACTTTCTTCAATTAGTAACTTGTTGCGAAAAAACACTACCACATCTTTACAAGGAACTGTGATTATTATTTCAATCAAATGGCAATAAATACTAGAGGAAGAATCGACCCCAGTATACCAAAACACACAACTTCATTCTATGAGACGGAGTCCCACTATAAAGCCATTGAGGCATATCAGTCACTCCCAACTGAAATAATAAAAATACTCAGTACCTGAGGAAATAACGATAGAGTATCTGAAAGAAAAACATTATTACAGTTTCAACAGCTGGTGATGGGTCTTGATGTATTTGTGTCATAAACTTCCAAACTACAATAATTTTTAGTAGATGTATTTATGAATACTTGTATTTATTTTATTCAGCCAATGAATTGTATTGTTACCTTTGTCACGGTACATACATTTTAATGCATTGTTTTATAACCCCTGACGTGCTATGTCCTCAGTTGATTTTATGGCAATAAAGAATATTATTATTATCATTATCATTAAATTCGATTCATATCCCAATGAGGAAGAAAAAGTTTCCATCCTATCTCAAACTGGTAGCAAATTGTCAAAAACGACTCTCCTTGATAGAAAGACTTTTCGCTGATCTGGATCCCTGGCTATACTGGCCTGGAAAACAATGAGGCTGCAAAATCCCTTGTAAAATAGGGTGCTACAAACAGCTTCATCGGACTAGAATCTGTCATTGGCATCGCTTTCTGCTTTCCCAAACAAAGACCTGGATGGCAAGAAGATTTATGAACTTCTGGCAGAATCTTAAAGGATTGGCTGACTCCAAGGCGGTAATTCACCCTTCGAAACTTGATACCAAACAGTTGGTGGACTATAGTAGGGATGAACTACGATGTCTAACTGTCGGAAGACAGTGTGAGTCGCCTCTGTTTGGAAATGATGAAACAGCAGAGCCTGCTCCGCTGGGGACCGAATCAGGTTTTTAGAGTTTTGTAACGAAAATTTCGTTCCATTGCTAAAGTTTTAACATTTTGCATCGAAGTAATACCGGGACAGTAGTCACTTCCTCTTTCAAATTCGAGTGAAGACCGCTTGCGCAGAAAACATCGGATATCGATGGCATATCGTGATCATCGAGAAATTTTTGCTTCCGAGCGGGACTTGAATAGCGACCGATGACGAATCGACAGGTTTGTGCAGAGAACGTGGTGTAAATGCATTTTCTGGTAAAAGACCTATTTATCCTATTCATCTTTTATTAAATTGTGTAGTAAGGTAGATTGAATGTTCAGATAACTCATTGAGAAATTCTGTTGATTTACAGTGAACAATTTTCGGATTTTTCCGAGACCACGAGGATTGAGAGGTTAAAAATCAAAATTTCCTTTTATTCAAAGAATCGTTGGAAGGAATCGAATTTCAGTGTTATATACCTGTTAGGGAGATCCCTTCGGAGAGGATCGATAATATATTTCTGGTATTCATTGAAATTTGATCACCTTGAAAATTTTAGTTGAATTCCTCATGTTCCTTCGGGGATAGGAACTTGCTAGCCCAATATCGTGCGATCACGAATTCAACCATTCACTTTGTTTAAACAGTGTCTACTCTGTATACCTTTTTTTTATTAAAATAGTATTATTCCGGGGACTGATCATTGACTACTAGTACAGCCGGACAAGGAACCAACAGAGGAATTCTTCAGGTGAGCATTTATTTTCTATATTCAATTTGTTCATGATAAATGATCTCTTTGTGAGAAATAAATGCAAATCTGAGAGAGTTGTTCTCTGTTCTTCTGAGCTGTGTAGTGGTCAGCGTTGGAATTTTCCCCTGTTGGACATTCAATCCCTGGTCTGTACAATTTATATCTCAGGTCTACTAGGTAGTATCTTGGGCCTTTACCGATTGTACCTGCCACCCCTGTCAGCGTTGAAGGTAGCTCTATCTGAATCCATAGTTATCTGACAAAAATTTGTTTAGGATTTGTCACCCAAAATGTATCTTCCTTTGGATTCAGAATTATCTGGCATATATTAGCCGTTTTGTCTTATTCCTATCTTGATAATACCGGAAATTGCATTACATATCCTTACGATATCCTTACAAATTATCAAAGATTATTTTCAGTTGTATTCAACCTGGCAATTGTTATCAATTGGACAACTACTGGATAGATTTTCAATAGAGTTCATAAGGAATTGATTTAATTATCAATTTTNCAAAAAAAAATAGTGTTTGTTATAATCATGAAAGTATTTACGGGTGTCATTCTCTAGTCAAACTGATTGATAGCGTATAAATATACCTGGCTGATATCAATTTTACAATTAGATATAATTGGAGAAAAAACTTACATGGTCAGAAAAATAGCCTAAAGGAATTTCAACCCAAGAAATGAGCCTGTGAGATCGACGTTTTTTTAGTTCGCACGCGTGGTCACCTGTTGGTAAATGTATAATATTAAAAATAATATTTTTGATCCCATCAGTTGTAATGCTTTTCATTCAAGACGGTTCTATAAAAATTTTAAAGCTTATGAAGGATAAGAAACGTTTGTTCAATAATTATATATTGACAAAAGAAGAACTTAGATTCTCGCGCCCTGTATACTAAATGGGCTGGAAAGTTCTTAGGCTAACACACAGATGGCGCTACCAGTATCAAATTGATATAATTTTTAGTTTGCAGGTCGTTCACAATGTTTCGTGGTGCATTTCATAAGTTTGGACTTACATTGTCTAATATGATATAAATTGATTTGAAATCCTTGGAAGAATATGTAAAAAAATTAAAAAGATGAGCTAAAAAATCACAATCATATTGAGCAAAAAAAAATTGAAATAAAATACAAGCAACAACCAGAACAAAAACAAAATTATATATCATTTCCTTCTCTCCACTTCATCGGTTTTAGCGGGAACTGACCGTTTGGCGGGAGTTAGTCGTGTTCCGCTTGATTAGAGGTTTCCATATGTTGCGTATCTCTACGCTACCTTGGCTAGATGCGTTGTTGGACAACATATATGCGGCTTCTTTGAATTTTCTCATAAACCAGTGTTTCTCCTTGTGGATGATTTCAACTTGATGTTATTTTGATGAGTCCAAACATGCTCTGCTATTTTCTCTTCGCTGTGTGTGTTTCTTATGCTTGGCAATGCAAACTTTGGTGTTCTCTCCGTTTCACCGATGTATGATTCTACGCACTCGAAGGTTATCCGGTGAATGTAATTCTTGGACTCGCAGTCCGCGTTTGGTGGCCTGGTTTTCGTAAGGCTGCTACGGATAGTGTTCCCATATTTGAAGCAGGTTATTATCCTTTCCGATAACTCTCTGATGTAGGGAAGTACTGGTTGTGGCGGCTTCTCTTCCTTGTAGAGCTCTTGCTGTCTTCTAGCTAAATCCTGTTCTACCATCACTCTAGAGTAACCATTTTCTTGTGGGTCATTTTTGATGATGCCTTGTTGCTTTTCGAGACCTTCCTTTGTAGACTACTAGACCGTGTCCGAAAGCACGGTCTAGTAGAGTCTTGATGATTCCTCTCTTAGTCGATTGATGGTGGTTGGATTTCTGGTTCAGATATTGTCCTATGAGAGTGGGTTTTCGATATACAGATGTTTCCCATTTAGTGTCGGTCCTCTTCACCAATACGTCTAAGAAAGGCAATTCGTTCTGGACTCCCTTTTCCATTGTGAAAGTGATCGAAGGACTTACGTTGTTGATGTGCTTCAGAAAAGTGTCTAGTTCTGCATTCCCATAGTTCCATATTATGGAGGTGTCGTCTACGTATTTCAACTAGACTCGGGACTTCCTGTGAGCTTCTTTAATGGCCAGAGTTTCAAATCACTCCATATATATGTCGGCTATAACCAGTGAATGTAGCGAACCCATTGGCAGTCCCTCATCTTGCGTAAATAATTCGTATTTCAGTTGAAAGTAGCAGTTGATCTTGCTCTTTGACTTCGATTGACTCTAATAATCTGACTAATTGCCTCGAACTTCTCACAAAATATGATGTTTTTCCTTGCAATGGTTTAAGCTGCAAGGAAATCATCCACAAGGAAGAACACTGGTATAGGAGACTGTTTAAAGAAGCCGCATATATGTCGATCAACTAAGCATTCAGCCAAGCTGGCGTAGAGAAATGCAACATATGGAAACCTTTCATCAAGCGGAACACGACCAACTTTTGCCAAACGGTCAGTTTCCGCTAAAACCGATTAAGCGATGACAGAGGGAAGAGAGGATAGGTGCAAGCACCCAAATGATCCATAAATAGTCATATCTCGGAGGAATGAGTCCTGTTATCACCCAAAGATGATTGTGGATATAAACAATCGATAAGTCGTGAATTAACTTTTAAATTTTCATTTTCATTTCTTTTTCATATTTTTTTTTTATTTTCCTCTCGCGTTAACTTTTCAATCATTTGATTTTTTGGGTGTTGCTGGTTGTTACTTGTATTTCATTTCATTGTTATTTCAGTTTTTTTTTGCTCAATGTAATTGTAATTTTTTCAGCTGACCTTTTTAATTTTTTACAGATTCTTTCAAGGATTTCAAATCAATTCATATCACAGTAGACAATATGATTATCAGTCAACCCTAACCTACAAAATACTCTTGCGAAAATTTCACAGCTGTTGGACTATTATTTGTTGGACTATCATTTTTTGAGTGAAGCAACTTTTGCTAGTTTGAAAGAAATGGTGTTAATAAAGCATAGGATAGGACGATTACCTTGGAGGGGTTACGTGTGTGGTGTGCTTCACTCACTCAATCCACCGCTTTGTGAACCGGTGGTTCAAACCACAAGGCAGAACCATCGATTTTCACTTCCAATTATCCAACCCGTGTTAGGAATCACACGCTCGAAGGTAAGACCACGTTGGTTCTTAGCACAAGTTTTGAATTCTGAGGGTTATTGTTCGTAGGGGGGCGACAGCTGGGTAACGAAGAAACAAATTTCAACAGATTGATTTGTGGCGAAAATAAATACTGTTGAAGTCAAGGTTTGACTTGATGAACATCACTTGGATTCTGCACAAGAAAAATCAACCTTTGAGAAGTGTTTTGCTGAGTTTCAACGAGGTGAAATGAGCATTGAAGATAATGCACGCAGTGGACGATTAAGAGAGGCTGCTACCGACGAAATAATCGAAAAGTTCCACAAAATAATTTTGAATGACCGCAAAGTGGAGTTGATCGAGATGGCTGAGGCTCAAAACCTATCGAAGGATTGTGTTGGACATATCGTGTGTGAATATTCGGTTATGGGGAAGCTCTGTTCGAAGAGGGTGCTGCGCGAGCTCCAAATCAATGGAAACGATGGCAAAACTGCATGAATTAGGCTTCGAATTGCTTCCGCGTCCACCGTATTCTACAAATCTAGCTCCTAGCGACTTTTTCTGTTGTCAGACCTCAAGAGAAAGCTCGTGGAGTAGAAATTTATTGCCGATGGAGGGTTTATTGTTGAAAATGAGGCCTATTTTGGGGCTAAAGACAAATCGTACAATGAAAATGATATCGATAAGTAGTATGATCACTACAAACTCTGTATCGCCCTCGAAGGCAACTATATTGAATGAAATAATCAAATTTTATGAAAATGTTCCTTCTATGTTAGCCTTCGACCTTTCCAGTCCAATTTTTAGGTAAACAAAACCGGGACTAACGAACCTGTGTTTTCATATCAACTGGTACCTGCCAATTATTATTTGCAATAGCATGTATTCTTTTCTGTATTTTGGAGTGTTTTGATATTCAAAAACTTTCACATATTCCCTGTCAGAGTTACTAGTATTAGATTAACCTATATACACCAGTCATTTAAGCTTAAATTAGGTAAGAATCTTGGAATTCGAGATACCCAGCTGTAGGTCTGTGAATAATTGTATATTGACACCCAAAAAATTGTCTCGAAACGTACATATAGTAGGGTGTACGCAACTATTAACTTTCAAGGTCAATGGTCACAAAAATCGGTTTTTTGTACTTTTTTTGTAAATATCTCATTTCCTATGGGTTTTTTGCTATTTGTTTCCATCATTAATATTGTAGAATACAAAATTTTCTACAAATTCTGTTCAGAAAAATTTTTCATACGGTGAACCGTTTTCGAGATAGCGGACGGAGAGCGCGCGGTCACAGGATCACTTTAGGTTAACCGGTGCCTTCGGTCGAAAACGCGTGGATCCATTGTTACTCTTGCAAAGAATTACTGTCAGCAAACAATTTGAAAGTAATTTTGAAGAATATCTTCAATATGAATTGAGTCCGTATCCAACAGCTCTATTTGATAATGATGGCATGAGAAAAACAACAAAATCGTCATTGTATGACAACATGAGCCCAGTTGATTTTGTTCCCAATGAAAATAATATGACGTGCATTATTGATGGCGGATTGCTTCTTCATCATGTTGTATGGAGCAGAGAAGATACTTTTTCTATTATTTTTGATAAATACATGAATTACTTACAAAGGCATTACAGTTCCAGAATGATTGTTGTATTTGACGGATATTCAGACTACAGTAAGAAAGTAAAAGCTATGGAGCAGCAGAGAAGAACTGCTGCACTTTCAAAAACGTATGAAGTCTGTTTCGATGAAACAATGGTTGTACCAGTTACTCAAGAAAAATTCTTATCAAATCGAAATAACAAAGATATGCTCATTAATATGTTAATTGAAAAATTACAAGCTGCAAATATTACTACTAAACAAGCCAGAGATGATGCGGATGTTATAGTTGAAACTGCAATTGAAGAATCGAAGTCTGAAAAAACTACAGTTATAATAGGACAAGATATTGATTTACTTGTCATTTTAATTGGTCATACACTGTGTTATGAACAAGAAATTTTCTTTAAAAATCTTGGGAAAGGAAATGTAAAAACGGAGATATACTCGACTAAGAGTTTTGATAATTATCCTCATTCTAAAAAACATATTTTATTTCTGCACGCATTGAGTGGCTGTGACACAATTTCTGCGCTTTTTAAAAAGGGAAAAAAAAATATTTTCAAAAGTTTTCGAGAAACTGACAAATTTAGATGAACTAGCTGCAGCATTTGAGGAAGAAAACTGTTCGGCCCAGAGATTATTAGACAATGGAACTCAAACCTTATTGGCAGTCTATAATGCTCCGAAATCTGTGAAAAGTCTCGATCATCTTCGTTATATGCATTAAGTCAAGTCTACAAAACCCAATAAACCTGTGCACCTTTCAAATATTCCACCAACAAGTGCAGCTGCTCATCAACATTTGAAACGTGTACATTATCAAGTTCAAACTTGGTTAGGGCATGGTTTGAAACCCCAAGTATGAGGTTGTGCAATGCGAAACGATTTTCTGGAGTCTATCATGATAATTTTACCACCTGCTCAAGAAGATTTGCTAAATACAATTTTCTGCAGCTGCAAGAGTGGTTGTGGTTCGCGA